TACTTCTTGCCATTTTATGTTTCGTAAACAAAATGCTTTCTTAGCTATTTCCCATTCAATTACCATCTGAAATAATACTTTCAATTCTATCCCGAATGTACCAGAATATTCCCTTGAATATATCCTTCATCCGGAAAATGCCAGAATATTCCCTTGCATATATCCTTCATCCAGAAAATGCCAGAATATTCCCTTGCATATATCCTTCATCCAGAAAATGCCAGAATATTCCCTTGCGTATAACCTTTATCCGGATAACATATTCCGAATGAAGATAATAGAAAAATTAATAGCTATTGATAAAAATGTTTCGTACAAATTTGATAAATAAGAAATGAAATAGTATTCTAATGGAATCATTTCATGACCATTCTTCATATCAACATTCTTGCTATCATTCTTTCTTCTTATCATTATTTATTATCATTCTTGCTATCACTCTTTCTTCCTATCATTATTTATCATTATTCTTTGTGGAAATGCTATAACACTCACCTGATGCTTTTCAAAAATAAACAAACGTTTAAGTAACATTAGAGTTGCGCTTATGGAAACCAGTGCAATAGCAATACTAGCTGCAGCTGAAATATTTCAAAATTAATTGCTAACAAATAGCTTGTTACCTGAGATATACCAAAAGTTTCAGAAAAAAAAAAACGATTTGTTATTCATAAATGATTGCATTTGCTAATTTTAACAATATCTTTCGTCTCCTTTTTGTTTATTTATTTAAAATTAAAAATTCAAATTTGTAAATCATTCCATTTTATTAATTTTCACAATTTTTTTTTCTTTCCTAAAACATTTTACAAACTTTACTGTTCGTCCATTCTTTCTCATTTTTTCATTAAATTAAAATAATAAAAATAAATATTTATATATTTTGCTGTATAATTTCGATAGAATGAATAGATCAGTGATATCGAAATAAAAATTGGCCTAATAATTGGCAACTTAGCCAAGTAGCCTTAGCCTAAGCATTGGCAATATTAATCTAATCAAGCATTTAATTGCTGATATTTTTAACATATCATGTTATCTCTACTATGTAGATATACTAAATTGTTTTGATAATTAACTTAATTACTGTATCATGATAGGTCATATCAATAAACATTAGCTCTTATTAGATTGATCAAATTATAAATAGTTTACCTACCTGATTCCCTGATACAAACCTGTCGTAATTCATTTAATAGAGATGCTGGTAAACTACATTTATCATCTTCATCTTCACTAAAATCATCACTAAAATAAAAATCCTCTTCGCTAGTTTTCTCATCCATTTTTGTTGTATTCTTTCCAGTTTTTACATTCGTTTTTAAAACGGTTCGTCCGGTTTTCACATCCGTTTTTGCGTTAACTTCACTATTCTTATTTAATGCGGCCATTAAAACACTGGTTGATTCCTTTTTCAGCTCTGATTCAAATGGAAATTTTTTAATGACATCATTATCATCAATTGGAGTTTGGCTATTCAAATTACGATAATCTCTTCGCATATAATTAAATCCTGGTCCATCAATTCGACCAAATTTATTGTATACTTTGATCCAATTTGGCATCAATACCTTTGGTCTTATGCGCCATCTATCCTTCTAAAATAGCCTCTCTTTTTTTTTTTTTTAAAAAAAAATATTTCAAAACTTTTGTAGTACCATTAAAAATATTAAAAATTTTTAAATTGTAAATTTTAACTCACAATAAAATCAATAAAAATGTATTCATACTTTTAATTTAATCATTTCTCTGCAATTAACAGAATTAAAAAAAAAAGTGAAATATTACACTAAAATGTGTTATTTTACATTCCTAAAATAATACCAGAAAGTTAGGATAATAAATTTGAAATTCTCGTATCATTAGATTGAATTTTAGTTCTAAGCATATATTTTGGTAAAACATATCATTGAAAAGTGGACATGATGAAATGGTCATATCATTGAGAAATGGACACAACGAAATGACCATATCATATCATATATATATCATTAAGAAATGGACATAACGAAGTGTCCCAATAATTTTAACAATTTCAAGAAAAAATATGATTCAATGGATATAATTGGATAAAATGTATTGATGAGAATTTAATCAGAATGAAAATAGAATTTAGGAAAATATGTGCAAATAAAACAACCGAACAGTGCTACAGTACTCTTTTTAGCATGCTTTAGATGACATTAGCGCATACTTTCAAATAAACTGATTGGTTTGGGATTAGGATTATCTTTAAGATATTGCGATTGTCGCATATGTCATCTAAGAAATGTCGATTAAACTGTGACAATTATCTTATTAATTTAGTTTAATCTTATACGAAATAAATATATCTTACGGTGAATAATAGCATCAGAACTTCGGCCGGTACACTATTTTTCTGATTAAAATTTAAATATTCCAAAGTTGATGCTAGCACTTTCGAAAAATTCTGCTTGACTTTACGTTTCCGTTCTTCGGCATTTTTCCCAAGTAATTTATTACTGAATAATCCTTGACTAGATGTTGCCGGATCAAATGATTTTGATGTGGATGGTCCAAAACTGATTTCTTTCTTAGTCGGATCGGATAAAATTTTCCGGTTGGTTTTCTTATGTTTTGCCTTTGAGGCTTTGCTCTTCTTACGAGTCATTTTATAAATGTTTTAACTGAAAATAAATTTACACAAATTTGGTTTATTTTAAAAGAAAACTTTAATTAACAAATTTAGTAAAAGAAAAAAAAACTTCCAAATGAAAAATTTATCAGTTATTGAAATATTATCATTACTTTCTATTTTAAACCACCATATGATATATTATGATATCATTTGATCGTCATGAAATTCGGCAATATTTTGTTAAATACCTAACTTCTATTAAATGATATTATTTTTATTATAAAATTTCTTACCTAAATCATAAAAACCTTCCCAATAAACTGATTCAATACAATGTTAGACGAATGCAAGAAAATGGAAACAAATAGCGCCACCAAAAATAGCGCTTTTCATCAATACCGCTTTTTTTTTTTTTTCTTTTTTTTCTTGACCTGCTCTGATCGTTCATTATATGATCGATGGAAAAAAAAATCTAAATTCTGTAAAAAAAATTTTCCCGCTTAAAGAATTAAAATTTGATACATTTTGAATGAAAGATAATCGCGCAAATCATAGCAAACAAATTTGCGCCATTTATTTTAGGTCAAATTAATGAGTCATAGTAGTTGAACTTATTTTTATACTTTTGACCTCTAGCATTATGAAACTGTTGTCATTGTAAATTTTAAAAAGAATTATGGCTCAATTTGAACAAATGATAACCAGATTAATGATAATTAGATAGATGATTGAGAATTTCATCCACACTTTGACAATGATTTGTTGAAAGACAAGAAACAAGAGACGATTAATTAGTTACGAGAAATATCAGAAATTATCATCAATTAAAGGAAGAATATTACAGGTGTATAATATGATAATTAAATAAATACATGATGTAAAAATATTTGATATGAAAGCGCAATGCTAAAAGTAAGACTTCGATAACTGATTAAATAAGCCGGAATTGTATGAATTATTCCGAAATTATAATTATTGGTTATTTTGCATTTCATCAATTTACAATAAAAAAAAAAAAATACTCTTTAAAAATTATATTTCTGGTTAAAAATAACAGGATGCTGATTGAGAGATGGAAAATTAATTGAAATATATTAAGTGATATGAACATATCAATTATTAAAATAACTTTTGATGAATTAATTTGTGACTTTTTTTTTTCCGCTGAATAAAAATCAATAGGTGCAAAGTTTCATTGTTTATCCATTTTTATTAAAGTTAATATTGGTAAAGTTTCATTATTTTAATAAAATAATACCAATAAATGTAGGATGCATAAATATTGATGGAAATAAATAAATAATAATATTTATTAATTTTAATTTACACCTCTTAATTATGATCTAAAATTGATTAATTTTCTTTTTTTTTTTCAGATTTAACAGGTGTTTTATTATCTATAACATGCACCTAATATTGTAATCCATTTCAACAATTCAATATCTTCTAGAAAGTTTATAAACCATTGAATGGTAGAGAGTCTATGAAAGAATAAATGATGTAAAAATGTATCATTGACCTTTAACATCTCGTGACCTTTAACAAATTTATCTATAAATCTGTTAACCATTATACTTTCACTGAATCTTTCTAACTTTGCAACTTGAATACTTGAAATCATTTCATTCCTTGCTGATTGCTCTTATCATTTATTACAATGATATTAAATGTTGTAATGATAAAGTAAGACATATCATTAGAAGTTTGAACTAGTAAAGTGTAAAGTAAGACCTATTATTCCTAATAATAGTTAGAAGTATAAAGTAAGTCCTATTACTCCTAATAATGGTGGAAAGTGTAGAGTAAGGCCTATCATTCTTAATGATGGTGAAAAGTGTAAAGTGGGGCCTATCATCCTTAATGATGGTGAAAAGGGTAAAGTAAGGCCTACCATTCCCAATAATAATGAAAAGTGTGGGGTAAGGCCTACCATCCTTAATGATGGTGAAAAGTGTAAAGTAAAGCTTATCATTCCTAATAATGATGAAAAGTGTAAAGTAAGGCTTATCATTCTTAATAGTGGTGAAAAGTGTCGAGTATAAGGCCTATAATCCTTAATGATGGCGAAAAGTGTAGAGTAAGGCCTATCACTCTTAATACCATTGAAGGTTTGGACTAGTGTTAAGTGTAACAGTTTACTAAGGTTAGTTTCACTACTCTTTGTATATAAAATGAATAAATTATTTTAATTAATTGAAAACGATATCATTTTTTTTAAAGAAAAAGGAAAGTGAACAAAATTGTTCGTACTTCTTTCTATTTATTTCTTCATTATTTGTATATTTAGTTTGAATTGTCCCTTTGGTAAATCCAATAAATTAATTACTCGGATTAAGCTTACCTCGCGTAAATTTCCCGCATATACTCAGGAAACTTCCCCGCACTTCACCAATACTAGTATCAATGCTATCGCAATATTGACACTCAGCAAATGAATGAATCAACAGATCATTCCACTATTAATAAATCCTCTGAACTGCCTTGGGAAGAGAACGTTTCATTGCGAGGTGTGATAATGGACCGCGTTTCAATCCGCTTTGGAGCAAAGCCAAGTGGTGTGTGTTGATAAGGATGACGTTAGTGGTAATAGGCTAATGATATTGTTTAGCTACAAGTAATTGGGACGTATAGTTCAGTTGTATATTACCAATAAAAATCTTATTAGCATGAAGTTATTCCTTTGTTATGCATAGGGAAGCAACGATCCTATCTCCTACAGTACACTACACTGATGAGTTGTATTTCCCTCTGTTCACCGTATAATAGCTAGTCTTGAAGAATGATATGACACTTATACAGTTGTAAATCCAATTTTTTCCCTACTATCCTTCCGAATCTCAACATCACAGCATTGTCGAAATGTAATACCCCGCTTCTTTCCTTACTGAAATTCTTACTTTTTAAAGTTTGACGTGAAATTCAATTTTTTAATTACCTTTATCCCATCATTCTCTGCATTCAAATATAGTCATTTTAACCTAGTTTGTCCCATCTTCTTTTCTTTTTTACTTAAATTTCTCGAGTTTCATATAGTATATAGGGAAGGCCCTACTTTTGATGACACTTTGGGATGATTCATCCGTTTTCATTTAGTAAAGTTCTATATTTTTTCTTTTTTGTTTCTTTCAGTTATTACATTTAAATATTTTTGTTTCAAGAAATGAATTGCTGTATGAAATTGTGACAAAAAGGCAAGTTTATTTTGTCAACGTTTTGCATAATCCGATGTAGTAAAACCAATAAAATGTATTGAAAGCAATAAATAACAACGGAAAAGTTTTGCCAGAAATCTGAAAATCATCCTTTGATAGGCATTATAACGAGCAAGTTTTCGTAATTTTTAATTTTAACCCTTTTTCTCTTTTTTCATAAAATCCCAATTTTCAATCATAAATCTGTTACATTACTATATGTGGGCCTTCTTCACATCTTAATTCAGATCAGCAAGTAGTTCATCCGGTTCAGTTCACTTGTTTGGTTAGCCCTCCGATGGTTATATATAATTAAAGTGCAACTTAAATCTTGGTGGAGGTTTTGGAAAGTAAAGGTTTAAAACCCATAAGTACTTCAAGTAACTGATTGATAAAAAAGCAATTACCTCGTCAATTTTTTCTCCGTCCGTTTTTCTCGGCTTTTCAGCATTTGAAATACGGCGGAAAGAATTTTCCCGTTGTATTCGTCTGGGTGGATAATTGGATGACCAGAGTGTTGCGAAACTGCTATTATTATCATGCATAATCTGGTTATCTGAATTCAAGCAGAGAAATGACCCATTTTGTTGTAAAGCTTTCACTGGGCTATCTGAAATATACTCTAGAACTATTGATATTATTACTTAATATTACAACTAATCAATATTATAATATTAATATTGTTCTTGCTGTTATTTTACCATTTGCATAGTACTTAGCAATTAACTTACTTGTATTTGATGATGGAAATCTGGAATTTCTACGTGAATCATTTCTTGTCAATTTCATGTTCCATGGTTCGGTGTGGGTTCGAAAGTTGGATTCTCGAACTCGTACGCGTCTTCTTCGTAATTCTAGCTTATCTACGTAGCCAACAATTGCCAGCTGCAAAACAACAAACAATTCGGTTAATTTATTCTTTGTTTAGTTGGAGACTGAGTTCGATTATCGGCTTATCAGATTTTCATCTCACCGCTTCTGTCACGCTGCTGTGTAACGTACTTATTATGGGGAAGATTGAGAACTCAATCCAGATGCCTATGTACATCTAACAAATCAGTTGAGCACAATCTTGCATGCTTGATTTTGCCCTTTTTGGTATGGAATAGTCAGGATGAGAACAAGGATGCATTGTCCTTTAATTATATTATAATATTAAGTAATTTACTTCGACAAGAGACAGGAAGATAAAGCCAACACAACCAAACATCCATATATCCAGTGCCTGAATAATGAATTTGGGTCAAATATGCAATTGTTTTTGTTTACCTAATACTCAAATATCTTTTTTTTCGTACTATATTATGGCTTGAAAGTTTTCCTTTTTTTTTCAAAAATTATTAGTTTAAAAAAGAGAACTTTTGGAAACTTTACATATGAAATCAGCTTGTTCATTTGTTTGTCAGTATAACGAAGAACTAGACACTATAAGTTCTACTAAATTATCGCTAATAAATGTTTTACCTTTAAGGTATCCAAATATTACTAATTTTATTTTTAATTTATTACTAAGGATAAATTGGAAATTAAATGATTGTGAAAATATATGGAAAAATTAATTTAATGTGAAACTTCAATCTTACCTTTACGTATGATACACGTGGTAAATTTTTGACAATATTACCGAACTGGAAAGTTAATGCCATCAATGAGCTAACACCGAGTGTTATACGTGCTGGCAATGCTTTTGTATCAATCCAGAATGCTATCCATGATATGAATACTGATAAATATGTAGGCATATAAGCCTAGAAGAAAGACACTAAACAATGTATCTTTAATTTAATTTTGAGAAAAAATGTAAATGCTTGATTATCACATTATTTAGTCAGTATCTTATATATTAACTTTATTGTTACCTGAAACATCGATTACCTGTAAAACGTAATATCCATAGAGACGACGGAAAATGAAAACAGCTTCCAATTGATCCCATTGACCAGCTGTATAATAAAGTTTTGTGCTCTTGTTTTCAATACGTGTAAGTATAAAGTCAGGCAGATTTTTACTACTCGGATCAGGAATTGATATGGGTTCCCAATCACGCCATACTATTCTCACTTCTGCCGTATTATATAAATAACTCTGCAAATAAAGCATTTTCGATTGTTTAACCGTTTTTTTTTGTTTTGTTTTGTTTTTTTTGGTACTTCATGTCTTATTTATTGAAACTGGTTACAGTCATTTAATTCATTTAAGTGTTTAAAAGTTATGAAACCAGTGACAATTTTGCCAAACCAGAAAGTTTCATTGCTCATTAAATTTTGTTATTTTCATACTGATAATGTGAGTTATTAAATTGCCTATTAGACGGAACATTTATATGTTTACAAATTCCTATCTAAATTTTCAGTTCAGTACCGGACATTAGGATATAATTATATTACCGGACATTAGAATGCCGTAATTGAAGGGAATATTTTAATCCATAAGCGATCAGATTATCGATGGAATAAATATGTAATATTTCTAATAAATAGTACTACCTCAAAGATGAGATTACATTGTTGTGTATCCATGGGAAAATTAGTTAAATCAAGTTGGCATGGTCCTTGTAAACTGACCCTGAAGTTTGTCATCATCCTTTAGTTAGAAACCAAACACAGTTTAATCATTTATCAGTTTGCTGTCTAAATTGATTACTCTAAGATATCGATATGAAATATTACATCATACTGATTTGAAATGAAATTTCATCAATCAAAAAGCAACAATTATTAATGCTTTACATTTGGTCAGGTTAACTGTTTTTTCTTTTGATTTATTTTATTTTTTAATGCTTTAATAACTGGGGAAAACTCTATAAAGATCTAGCTTATACTGAGAAAAAAAAGAAAAACTTCGACAATTTTTTCGCTGTGAATACGAATTGTTTTTTTTTTATTTATGACTTGAAATCAATTGAAAAAAAAAATATTTAGAAAAAAGAAAGAGGAAACTTGTTAGAATTAAAAAATAGTGCTTTATTTGGAATTTTCTAAGAAGGAGTGCAAAAAAAAAACTCGGATTTTGATTTTTGAATCCTAATTGGTATTAGGATTTAAAGTGGATTTTATAAATTGGAAAATATATTTTTTTCTGTGGACTCTTTGATTGTATCAAAAGTAAATAATTGTACCTGTAATTAAGCCATACTGTTCCATTAGGAAATACTAACAGAAGAATATTTTGTGATGGTGATGTATGTACTGTTACTTTTTTACTGTTAACAACACAGACATTTGGTGTCCACAAATTGGGTAACTTATGAGCGGCCAATGATAAATTCGTCAAACAGTAATTTAAATGCTAAAAGTGACATTGTTATTATAGATGTCACAGTTCCCATTTTTTTTTTCAGATAATAAGCACATGACTCAAACCCTTTTAAAAACTTATGTTTGTCGAATGTGGTTTATATTATCGGAGGACTGGGAAGTGTTCGATATGGTATATTAAAAAAAAAAAAAGATATGTGTTAGGTAAAATTTTCATAAATTACCCTAAAATCAAGTCGTCGATCATGCCATATTTGGCTGAACCATATGTCTGCTTTGAAACTGCTCGTTATTTCGCTGATCTCTGTTATACTTTGTACAGTTACTTCCACTACCACTTCAACTGAATCATCTGATGGTAGTGTATTCTTATCGTACATTTGCTCATCGAATAAACCCTATATTATGTTAATTTTAAATTTGAAATCATTTCCAAACAAAATAAATTTTTGTTATTGATGATAATGGAATGATAAGATAATGGGAAGTTGCCTGGCTAGAATACTCTAACTTCAGTTAATTAAATTTACTCCTTTTCATATATTTTTCAAAATTTCTCCTCACACTTTTCATGAAATAAACATTATTAGAAGTAAACATTATTTTCATGAAGTCAACATTTATTAATTTTTTCCAATATACAAATGAATTCCTAATGATTCAATAAAATGGGTGAATCATCATTTAAATTGAATTCAAATTCCGCACTTCTATCAATTATTTTATTGCTAATTAAAAAAAAGTATTGCAAGATATGAGATCATATATGATCGATAACAGATATTGGAAGTCATTCGCATCATGTTATTAATAGTAGATATTATTAAAAGTTATTTCCAACATACTAGTAAACTCATAATGATAAAATCTGTGAATTATCATATCATCACTTAAACTGTATCAAGGCTGCATATTTTTATCAATTTGTGACCAACAGTAGACATTTTATTCTTCATACAGTAACTCTCTGGCTGTTGTGCTTTTGTTTCTTAGATCAGCACCTCCTCTCCTGAATTATCAGAATATCCTGAATTAGTGTTATGGGTAGTATTTAGTAATCATAGCATTTAAATATTGTGAATTTTCTCTTTTTTCATTCACAAACTTTTAATCTTATATGTTTAATAATGTTATGCTAATTAATTTCCGGTATCATGCTTCACATACGTCATGTATATTTAATGACACAAATTAACTAACAAAAAAAAGTAGTTTGTTAAAAGGCAAGGAGGTGAATGGAAATGTTAGTTTGCTCTAGGAACGGAAGAAATTCGGGATAACATCATAATAGCCTTCGAGTAATAATTGCGGATTTGAAATTGGTAATAACTGATTACTGCATTCAATACATATAAGTGGAGTTCGTCTGAGTGTGTTATATAAAAGTAATGATAATTTTGATATATGAATAGAGGGGATGGATACTCAATGAAATATAGTTCAAAAGATAATGATTTAATGCGACAGATAACAAAAAAAAAGACTGATAGTTCTATGCAACATTTGTGAAATTATGCACCTAAATTAAAAATTCATTTGAATTATTGTATGTATTTACTTATTTTGTTTATCCAATGATTAACTTATCTATCACCAGTTAGAGTTTTTTGAAATTTTTAATTTTACAATGTAACCATTGTTTTCATTGGAGAAGAAAACAAATGATTGGTTGCTCACATCATTTCATAATTTTATCGCAAACATTCAAAACATGAAATCTTGCATGCAAAAGAGATGATGTGCTATTTCAGACATGCAAAAATATTACAAAACGGTTGATCTAACGATAGATATTACTAACTGCTAATGTGACAACCAAATTCAACTCATTCTTCCAATCGTCTTTTACTACCAGCAGTTTTATTATTATTATTATTATTATTATTATTATTATTATTATTATTATTATTATTATTATTATTATTATTATTATTATTATTATTATTATTATTATTATTATTATTATTATTATTATTATTATTATTATTATTATTATTATTATTATTATTATTATTATTATTATTATTATTATTA